GGCTTGTGTATTTGGTAAATCTCATCAGCTTCCTTATCATGCTTCTTCTTCTATATACACACAACCTCTGCAGTTAATCCACACTGATTTATGGGGGCCAACACCTCTTAAATCATACAATGGATATACCTATTACATACATTTCACTGATGCCTTCTCTCGCTATTCTTGGATATATCTCCTTAAGAATAAGTCTGATGCTTTTTCTGCTTTCCTTCAATTCAAGATTATGGCTGAGTTGCAATTTGATCATAAGATTAAAGCCATTTAGAGTGACTGGGGAGGGGAGTTTAGAGCCTTTTCTTTGTTCCTCTCTGATAATGGTATCCTCCATTGCTTGAGTTGTTCTCATGCCTACCAGCAGAATGGTTTGGCTGAACGCAGGCATAAACATATAACAGAAATTGGTTTAACTCTGCTGGCTCAATCTACTATTCCTCTCAAATTATGGGATGAAGCCTTCCGAACTGCCACCTTCCTTATTAATCGCTTACCTACTCCAGTTTTGAATGGTTCTTCACCATATTCTCTCTTATTTCATTCTCCACCTGATTATTCAGCTCTTAGAACTTTTGGTTGTTCTTGTTATCCTCTCACTGCTCCTTACAATAAACACAAGCTTGATTTCAAGTCCACTCAATGCATTTTCCTTGGCTATATAGTCTCCAACACAAAGGCTACAAGTGTTTGGCACCTTCTGGCAGAATTTACATTTCTAGAGATGTCATCTTTGATGAGCATCTTTTTCCCTATTCTACTATCTTTTCTTCATCTTCTAGTTCTGCTGCAACCTCTTCTCCTTCACCTCCTCCTTTTCCTTCAGCATCTCCTCCCCTAGCTGAATTACAGGGTGTCCCTAGATCTTTGACACATGAATCATCTACTAATGTTGAGAGTGTTATTCCTTTTGATCTTGTTACTAATACTTTGCCTGGCAGTTCAGATTGTTGTCCTACAACTGAGCCCACTTTTGCTTCTACAGTGAGAGTTGTTGGTTCTGTTTTATCTGGCTCTACAGAATTACCTGCAACACCTGTTCAGACTCGTTCCCAGTCTCTTCATCCTATGATTACCTGATCAAAGAATGGTGTGTTCAAGCCTAAAGCCTTGGCTGCTTATAAAGAACCTTCCACTATCACAGAGGCTTTGCAGTCCCCTGATTGGAAACAAGCTATGGTAGAAGAATACTCTGCTCTTTTAAAGAATCATACTTGGGACTTGGTATATCTTTCTACTGATAGAAAATCAATTAGCTGCAAATGGGTGTTCAAAGTTAAACATAATTCAGATGGTTCAGTTCAGAGATTGAAAGCAAGGCTTGTGGCTAAGGGATTTCTTCAACAAAAGGGCTGTGATTTCAAAGAGACTTTTAGCTCGGTAGTTAAACCAACAACAATCCAAATTATATTGACTCTAGCTCTCTGCTGGAAATGGAAAATTCATCAAATTGATGTGAATAATGCTTTTTTAAATGGTGTTCTAGAAGAAGAGGTGTATATGGATCAACCTCAAGGTTTTGAAGTTGAAGATAGGAGGCTGGTTTGCAGGTTGAGGAAAGCCCTTTATGGTCTCAAACAAGTTCCCCGAGCTTGGTTTGAGAAGTTAATAACAACTCTGTCAAAGTTTGGGTTTGTGTCTAGCAAGTGTGATCATTCATTATTTTTGAGTCACCTCCCAGCATACCACCTTTGTTCTAGTGTATGTTGACGACATGCTTATTACAGGGAGTTCTCAATCAATTGTGACCAGTTTAATCAAATCTTTGAATAAGGAATTCTCTGTTAAAGATCTTGGTGAGCTGAATTATTTCCTTGGTATTGAAGTGAATAAGCTTCAAGATGGTTCTCTGCATCTTTCACAGGGTAAGTATGTTAAAGACTTACTGCAAAGAGCTCATATGTCTCAAGCTAAAGGAGTGGATACACCTATGCCAACCGGTCTCAGGCTGTTTAAAGTGGAGGGTGAACCAGTTGCGGATGCCACAACCTATAGGTTGATTGTTGGAGCTCTCCAATATGTTACCATAACTAGACTTGAGATTTCATATGCAGTCAATAAATGTTGCCATTTTATGCAGCAGCCTCTGGAGCCTCATAGGAGTTAGTCAAGCGTTTTTTGAGGTACTTGGCTGGGACAGTAAGTCATGGGCTGCACTTGAAGGCTACACAAAATTTGTGCTTGTATGCATTTTCTGATGCAAATTAGGCATCATATATTGATGATAGACGAAGTACTACTGGCTTTTGTGTTTATCCAGGTGAGAACTTGGTGTCTTGGTCTTCTAAGAAGTAGCACACTGTCAGCCGCTCAAGTACAGAAGCTGAGTATCGTGGGATGGCACACGCAGTAGCTGAAGTTGTTTGGATACAATCACTCCTTAGGGAGCTGAATGTGACTCTAAGGAAAGTGCCACTGTTGTTATGTGATAACCTCAGTTCTGTCTTGTTGTCTGCGAATCCCATCTTGCATTCTCGGACAAAGCATATGGAGCTCGATATTCATTTTGTTAGAGAGAAGGTTATTAGGAAAGAGTTGGAGGTTGAGCATGTCACTTCTGTCGGGCAAGTAGCTGATGGCTTGACTAAATCAGTTTCTAGCCTTCGGTTTGAGTTGCTGAAGAACAGATTAGGAGTTCGACATTTGCAGAAATGTGCTGAACGAGGGAGAACGAGGGAGGTCCAAATTACCGGGGCATGTTAACAGAATTAGTTAGATAGTAGTCTGTTAAGAGTTAGTTATAAGATTCCCTCCATAAGTTAGTTACATCCAGCTGTACTTGTATCTATAAATATAGTGACCTCTCTCTCAGAAATGTAATGTAATGAATTCTCCCGCCATATGCTCGTTTAGAGCTCTCTACTCATTCCTTCTATCTTGAATGTTCTTTATGTTTCTCAAGATACCAGCTAGAATCTCCAAGTTAAGATGAAGATGAAGCAGTCATGGCAGCATAATTCTTTGGTTTTGCAGGAAACCGAACGTTGTCGAATCAGTTATAACACTTGATAGCAGAATGGTAGTCCCCCACAGATTTGACACTTGACCGGAGGTGTATCAAAATTCGTAGATTATGACTTCGGCCGTTGAGTATCAGTGAGTGGAATTTTAGGTTTATTCTCGTCAGGTCGTGGATATGAAGGAGAAGGACGAGATCCTTTGCCATCCTTCGCTACAATATTAGCAGTCATAACAGAGGAACCAACAAGAAATTTAGAGTTGTCTAACCTTATTTCATGATTGAGAAGCAACGCTTGTACTTCATCAAATGTGTATTCAGATGCACGGACTGTGATTGTAGTGGTTAGGGCCGCATAATCAGCTCCAAGACCTCCCAAAACAATAAGAACCAGATCCATTTCAGACATGGGTTGATCAGCTGCTGCAAGTGCATCAACTATATTCCTCATCTTCAAGAGATGTTCAGGCTTAGTCATCGATCCCTTTTGTATGTGTAATAATTGATAGCTGAGTTGTAGCACTCGAGCTAATGAATCCCAACACTCTTTTGAAATGGTTGCTCCTGCTACTTGGGCAAGTATCCCTTCGGTGAGAGATGCCAAAAGCCAGCCAAGGATCAATTGATCCTGTTGCTCCTACTCTAAGTATGATGGATTGACAATTTCCTCTTCATGGTTAGAATCCGGTGCATACTTAGCTGGACAGGGGAAGGTTCCCACTACATAACCAAATAACTTGGCACCACGCATTGCAGCAATAATCTGAGAATGCCACGGTATGTAGTTATTCCGATCCAAACAATTTGATTGATGTTAAATGGAACATTAACACCGAGACCAACAGAGGAGGATGACATGGTTCGACCAGAAGTCATAGGCTCTGATACCATGAAAGAACTTGAACAAACTTGACGAGAATTTGAAGTTGACACAGAGATGAACAACAGAGATTAAAAGAAGATAACTCCACACTCAACTGATTAACAGTGGAGTCGTATTGTATTATATATAGATATCTGTACAATTAGTTTCATTAGTGTACATGTAACATTAAGATATGTACAGAGTCCTAAACTAAACAGGGCAAGACTTATCAATTTATTGGTGTTCCTTATCACGAACTCCATCTTCAGAAATGGTGGAGGTCTTCACGTGTCTAGGGGCAATGATATCCCTAACAAATACAATAATTTGGAAACGATCCAATCAACAGATAAAAATAAGATCTCTGCATGTATATTTTGCTTATTCTACCATTTTCTAATGTTTCCTAAGCTTCATATAAACTTATAAACTATGAAAATATACGTTTATTATGCATTCACACCTTATCGAATGCAATTTAACCCCCTCCCCACCACCCCCCCCCCCACCAAAAAAAAAAAAAGAAAAAAAATCATAAGTTTCTCTGACGCATAAATGCATATATTAATTTTTATGGCGTGTACTGATACTCTTAACCTTCCTTTGCGGCTTCCGATGGATTTTTCATCAAGATACCATGAAGTTTGAACCTTGGTTTGAGCTTTCATTGCTATCCGGGTTGAGCCCACCACACAAAGCCAAAGGTCGCTTGAAAGCACTCCCTAACGTACAGTAAGATATTTGGACTTCATTAATCTCAAGGACACCATTAAGCCATTAATTCACTACGTTTTTTCAGGAACTTGCGGCTGCTGCTTTCCACAGGCGAAAGAATCTTGGAGGAACCCTGGTTACATGAGCCTTCTTTTTTTGTTTCAAGAATTCGACAGTCTTTGCTTTAGGCTCAGTTTGAAAAGAGTGCAAATGCAAATATGTAGGGTACAAATACATACAAAATAATAGAAAATGTAAGGCTTGCACTATACGAATTTGTATTTGTACTCCTTCCAAACTGAGCCTAGGAGTTGGGACGACAGAAATACCTTTTATCTGGACTACTGGTTACCACAAAAAACTCTAGCCTGGCCAAAAGAATGGCAGAGTGCCCCAACTCCCAAGGGCACTCGTTCTTTAACAGAGCTCACGATTTCATTCACAAATTGAAATTATAATATGGCCTTTTGCAGTCGTCTTAACTATTTCTGATAATTTTTGCAGTTGTCATGACTTAATTCATATATTAAACTTACAGAGTGTATTGCAAGTACAGATACATTATTCTTGCAGGCTTTGGCTGAGATGCATTACGACATACAAGCTGAAAACATATCTAAAAAATAAAGCGCTCAAAAACAAGATGTAAAAAGAATGAGAAACCCAAATTTGCTGAACAGGCAAGGCAGTTGTTGGTCATAGTGTCTACTAAATGTAGGTAGCAGCTGGTGCTTGGGTTTCACCGTCCCTTTGGGTTCATGATCTGTGAGAAAACAGCACTAGGTGTCAACCCATCAGAATCCTCACTTGCAAGACTCTGGCCCCCAATGCTCATAGTCATTCCACTGCTCTTAGACTCTGTCGTGCTGCCCTCAAAACCTGAATATGCATCTGGATCTTTCTTGCATTTGCCAGTGAATGTGGTCTCCTCAGTGCCCAAGTCGCTACTGAACCCACTACTCTCTGCACTCTCCTGCAGCTGTAGTGCAAACTCAAGGTTCCAGAGAACATCTCCCATTGCTGGACGGTCAATCCCCTGGTCACTCACGCATTTTTCTGCTGTCTCCGCAAACTTCTTGAAGCATTCTGGTGCAATTTTTCCCTTAAGATATGGGTCAATGATCTGATCAAGGATTCCCTTCTTCTGGCAATGCAAGGCCCACTCTGCCAAGCTGACTTGTTCCTTTGGCAATGTTGGATTCAATGCAGGACGGGCACAGAGGATCTCAAACAGTACAACCCCAAAAGAGTAAACATCTGATTTCTCAGTCAATTGCTGCCTTCTGAAGTACTCTGGATCCAAATATCCAAAGCTACCCTTCACAACAGTGCTGACATGAGTATGATCCAATGTTGGTCCTGTCTTTGACAAGCCAAAATCTGAAACCTTTGCAACCCATTTCTCATCTAGGAGGATGTTTGTCGTCTTAACATCACGGTGGATGATGGTGTGCTTGGCACCAGTGTGGAGGTAGTGCAGGCCACGGGCAGCTCCAATGCAGATCTCAAGCCTCTGCTTCCAAAGTAGGGGTGGCTTTTGAGTCTTGTAGAGGTGTTCACGGAGAGTCCCATGGGCCATGTAATCATAGACAAGGATCATTTCACAGTTCTCCTCACAGTAGCCAATCAGTGAGACAAGGTGACGATGACGGAGCTTTGAGAGCATCTCAATCTCTGTCTGGAATTCATGGACCCCCTGCTCGGACAATGGGTTGCCACGCTTGATTGCAACCTTAGTCGTCCCGCCATCAATTTCACCCTTGTAGACCTTGCCAAAACCACCAACACCAAGCAATAGTGCCTCATCAAAGTTGTTGGTGGCAGCCTTGATTTCAGCAAAGGAGAAGTGGCGGCAAAGGTTTGAAGGAAGTGAGGATGCATAGCTTCCAGTAGTTTTGCTGGTCTTGGCAGACCCTGCAGAGTGTGAATTTCCATAGAGAGAAATAGGGAGCCACCCAGATGGCGCATCACTGGTACCAGAGCACTTCCTTTGCCTCTGCCTTCGGTATACAGCAAATACAAGAAAGCAAAGAATACAAACAGCAGCAATACCACCTACAACACCTCCAGCAATGATTGCAGTCCGATTCTTTGAATTACCAGAAGGAGATCTAGCCAAAGATGGGTCAATCACATCCTGTCTTGGAGCAGGAATTGGATTGGGTCCAGCAAGGTTTCCAGTGGGATCACTTAATTTAAAGATCTCCACTCCATTTAAGATTGCATCGTAGTAAACGGGCTTTGATACCGTAGCAGGATGCAATGCTAGCCAGAGGTCCTGCTGTACATTCCCTTTTGGAACAAGCACAACATAATCTTTGTATGTTGGAATTCCATTTCCATTGGCCCAACCAACCACATCTGCACCATCGTCAGCAGTTTGATTATTGATGAAGATCTGAAACACCCTCTCATTGATCTTATTTATGACAGATTGGATCTCACAGAAATGGAGCCTAACCAGGTAGGAAAACCCTGGGTCAACCTGGAAAATCCATGTCAGATTATAATTCACATTGACACTTGCATTTGGTCCCATAGTTCTGGCAGTAGCATAAACATTCATTGGCGCAGTGTAGTTAGGGACATTTGAAGGATAGTGAATTGTAAGGTCTGTTAAATCTGTCACGCCAATAGCTGCACTAAAGATGTATGGCATATCATCATACCAAGACCGTAAGAGACCAGTATCCTCCGATGGTGGAATGTCATTGCCACCTACATTTAGCCGGATAACATTCTCAAGGGCAGTACTGTTATCAATAGGGAATTGACTATTGAGACCAACAAGAAAGGCGCCATTTGCATCATTATAGATATCAGGCATCGACAAAACCTGGATCCCATTAACAAATGCATAGGCATTGGAAATATTGGACGATGGCTTGAATGTGATATTCAAACTCTCATCCTCCGCAATTAAAGAAAACTCTTTAAAAATGACAGCAAAGTTTATAGCCTCCGCAGTTTGTGAAGCACTGAAGTTGTTGAGAAGAGTATAGGGTCCCGAAGTGACCGAGAAGAGTGCATTGGAGGCATTGAGGCCATTATAAGAAGCTGGATAGAAGTAAAGACGAACGAATTTCCGACCAGATGCAACAGGAAAAGTGTATGTAAATTCGGAGCGGAATATCCTTGCTGTCATATAAGGGACGTCGGGGACAGATGGGCCTTGAGTGGCAGCTGTAGAGATTAACGTATTGGCCGTTGAAGGTGCGAACTTGGACCCAACATCGCCAGTCCATTTCTGGCCGTCGGTATCTGTTGTTTCCGATGTAGAACCACAATTCAAAAGGATTTTGTCCGTTGGAACGTATGGATCAGCCGCAGATATCAGATGGAATAGGAACAAGAGACACAAGGAAATGGATATAAGATGAATCCAGTTGGTTTTCTTCATTTCCAAACCAATGGGAAGGACGGAAAGATGCGGTGGCAAGAACTTACCCAAAGAGATTATTTGATCGGCAGGGTGATAGTTCTAGACTGGAGAGTAGGATTAAACAATAAACACCCCTTCCTTAAGGAAAAAAAAGGTCCAACCTTCAATGGATCAAGTATTAGGCAGATACACAGGGGATTTAACTGATAAATCCAGAAACAATTTGAGCGAACCAACCAATAAAACGAGATTTGACGGAGGAAACAATGTCCAAGCTTAGTTCTTTATCAGATCAACAGAACATTACGCTTTTCAAGGCCCAAAGCAGCGTAAACCCACAATAAAAAGCTAGTTTCAGTAGTCAACAAACCCCAGATGAATACAAGAGCACGATATTTGACAGAAAAAAACTCAGAAACTCCTAATTTCATCACACAAACTAGTTCACAATTAATATTGCAAATCCAGCTAACAGGATTAAATAAAAACAAAACCAACGAAAACCCAGAAGATAGGAATCTAAAACAACCTTACAGCGAACTATACTCAAACCCTCGTTAAACTGACTGCTAAAAAATACCGACAAAGAAAGGCAGATTTAACGCGATTTCGAGCTTTCCGTCGCCGAAATATGCAGAGAGAAGGTGGGCAGTCAGTAAATTTGGAGTTCACAAAAATCTGACCTGAAACTCGGAATACATCATCCGAATAGCTGCAGATTAGAATTTCTTGGGTTGAGCCTTGAACCTCCGTGATCGCGCAAGAAACTGAGGTGACCCAAGTCCCGTTGCGGCCTCACCCAAAGCTCAGAAGGTTTTCTACAACCTTTCTGAAAAATTAAAATTGCCTACCAGTCCCTTGTTTTTTGCGCCATTGATGGACATCGATGCCATCAAATTTCTTGAAATGACAAAACTATCCCTGTCAGTTAACGAAATTACATTTCTCTCCACTCAAATTTTCAAAATCAAGTGGAAGTGGGTGACAGAAATCAGAGAGAGAGAGAGAGAAACGCGTTTTGATACATCTCAATAGACAATAGGGGCTGGCATCCACTGCTTAGCTTGTGATTAAAAAATTTCTTATTAGGTTGTACATTGCATGCAATCAAATTTCGCCACGTGTTTCAAATTCGTGCCGAAGCTTATGCACGTGATATTACAGTTTAAAAGTTAAAACTATTAAACCGAAACCAAGGACTGAAATATGGAACATGTTGTGTCGGTATCCATAATCGGCATATGTTACGATACTTAATTGACGGTCGTGTGTATCGTAATTTATCGGGCCAATACAAGTACGTATCGATCCATATCTTATATCTGTATTCCAATTGTCTTCATCATAATGTATTTACATTATTCTATTGATAATTATTTTTCCCATATCCAAATATGAATTGCCCCCCTAACATTGTATCGGCTGATAAAAGACGATTCGTTCTGCCTATCTAGACATTTTTCAACGTCACTCTAACATGGTTATCGAATCGCCGTTGATTCGAATGGTTGGACTGTTCAGCTTGGTAGCTGTTTAAGTAACCAGTTTCATTTTATCTCAAATCCGGTCCCCGGTAAAAAATCATTGAATCGGTCAATAATTCATTGACTCATGTCGAACTATTGACCTGTTCAACGGTTTTTGGCCGTTTTTATTTTTAATTTTTTGAATTTTTATTGTCAGAATGGATCATTCGTTCAAACCAGATGATCAAACCGTCAACCCAAAAACCGATAGCTAGAACGGTTCTATTTCCTGATCATTTTTCAAAACCATGGTTAATAATGATATAAAAATTTAAGTCATGTTTTTTTTCTAGATTTTCAAGTTGCAAAGGCCCGGGGAAACAATAGTCGTTTTCTCAAACACCAATGGGGTGTTCATTTGTTTTTGAAATCGCTACATATACCCAATGCAGATTTTTGAATTCCTCTGCAGATTTAAAAATAGTCAAAATGTCAAAAACCCTCACTATACCCACCCGTGACTTGACATCAAATTCCAAGTTGACACCCATCTCATTTGTACTTTTGGCCTGAACCATCATTGTCCCAAAAAACAAAACAAAATATGTTATTGAACTCTGATTTTATTTTCAAAGTGAAAAACAAGTTATATTTTTTCAAGAAACAATACATGTTTTTAAAACAAAAAACAAACTTTTTATTATAGGAATTATATGATTTATTATCAGATGAAAACATGTTTTTGAAATCAGATTCAAGAAGATGATTTTTATTCCAGTTTTGAAAATTAAAAAAGAAAAGATATACGGTTTTGATTTATTTTTGCAATTAACAATAAGTAAAACAATTCACGTTGTAGAAACTAGAACTCCCCCCAAATCTCCAACGTGACACCGACGTGGTATCGTTTTATATTGAAAACGGCACCATTTTTAACAATAGCCCTTCTTTCGTCCTTCTATTTCACCATCACTTTCACTTTCCTCATCCCTGTCACTTTCGTTTCCACAGAATCACAGTTTCACTTGACACGCGTTTGGTCCCAGATTAAGAGAGCTTAACGACCCACGGCCCACCATGAGCCTCGCACCAGCTGGGCTTTACTCACAACAGTGGACACCTGTCTGGAATCAGCAAGATTGCTGAGTTGTTGCCTTATGTTTTTTTTTTTCTCGTTCTGGCAGAAATGGAGCTCTCCCAGGAAGATTCCTGAATGTCAGAATCTCGGCATCCCAATTAATGCTCTTCATAAATCATAATAGCTGGCTGGCCAGCTCACTCGACTAAATAATAAACGGATCGGGAAAGGGCCCACCAATGAAATGGATGAGTGCATCTAAAATCGCACTGAAATCCATATTTCTGTATTTGGATGTGGATCATCCGTTTCAGATGGAATTCGTTTTTTAAGTTTTGGCCCATGAAACAAACTTGGAATTGTGTACAAGATTTGATGGGGTATATACAATTCAATTGTTCTCCCGGTGTCTCTTAGAATTATCTCGCTTCCATCTGAAAGAGTCATCACATCATCTTCAATATTATCTCGCTTTAGAAACAGGAATCATGATCAATTTATCTGGGCAGGTGCAGCGAATGGTACATTTTCAGTAAAACAATTTGTTTTTGAAGGAGTGGAGATCCAGTCATGATATTTTGGATAGATCTATCTTAAAGATAATTAACAAAGTTTCGTTTCAAATGCTTTTATGGAGATTGCGTAGACACTTTATTGTTTCTAGATCTGACTTGTTTAACAGAGGCATGAGTGTGGAATGTGGATGCCACTTGTTTGCTTTGTGAGCAGGGATCAGAAACAGTTCATCACCTTTTCTTTTCTGTGCTTATTCTTTTGTTAGGTTAGTCTTGTTTGCTAGCTTGTGATCTTTGCAGATTCTGAATACTTGTAATACCATCTTTTGTATTTATTGAATTCGGGTCTTAGTTAGGTACTTAGGTCAGCTGTTGCTTTCTATTTTATTTGGCAGGGCTTCTTTTTCTTAATGTGAGTAGCTCACTCAATTGGGCTATTAATTCTATTCATAATGTTCTCCAAAATTCTATAATAACGAATTCGAGTTCAAACGACTCCATGACGTCTGATCATAATATGGTGTGCAAGGATTTGTCTTTTGGTTACGGAAAGTATCATCGCTCATATGTTAGCCCAAAAGGCTAACCATTTTGCAGATGTATGTTGGTGGAAGGATCCACCGGACTGGCTGGGACCTTATGTGTAAATAGTTTGTTTAGTTGAAGACTTATTGTGCTTATCAAAACAATAAAGTTGAAAGAAAAATTGCGAATCTTCAATGTAATCAGCCAGATTTTGATCCCCCTGGGACACTGGGTAGGATGAACCGATGAAGAAAAAAAAATACTTTAGAGGAGGACCCAAAAATAGCCAGCCGCTTATAAGGAGCGAGCTCGGACCACCAGTTCTTCCTGTGGCCATTTTTATTGGACGTTCTAACATCAGTCCATTGATTGAAAGAAAACAAGCATCTCAATGCAGTTTATCGCTCAAGTCAAGAACATTGTAACGGCCAGCTATACAACATATGTAGGCTTTTTGACAGAAATGGACCTGTGCTTCATGATATTAAATTTGCTTGGAGTAGAGACCTGGGATAAAAAAATCCCGCTGCCACTAAAAAAATGAATTTATTAGTTAAGACTTAGAGACGACTCCAAAAATTAAATTATCAATCCAAGGGACAATAAACAATGATTGTTTCAAACACAAGAATGCACTGGCTCAGAACAGGAAAAAAGATCAAAAGAAATGTCAAGTTGTAACTAACACACACGCCACCAGAGTTTGTTCATATGGCAAACACATAACAAACTTATCTTAAGGCACTCGTATTCCCACAAACAAGAATCTGGGATAGAACATTAGTAGAAGGGGCTATTCCCTTGGAGGAAAGGAGCCGCAGGCCTGACGTAAGTAAACCCCTTGAAGGGGCACTCCGTATTTGGACTGGCAGCAGGAGAATCCAACAGAGGCATGCTGGTCCAGCGCTCCTCAAAGTTGGCAATGCAATGTATCCCGGCCACTTGCGGACGAAAGCTTGGCTGTATTTCCCGTGCCTCCAATTTCTTCCAGTTGATTGGCTTGAACCACTTGTGGCGCTTTATCTCCTCACTGCCCAGGCGCTTGCTTGCATCCTTTTGCAGGAGCTGCACAATACCAAAACAAAAAAAAGAAGGGGAGAAAGCTTGCTTCAATGTCCAACCTCGTTCATAACACCATGCGGTAAAAAATGTACGTGAAATTTCAGCATCTAATCAAACACCTTGTTCCCTTTACCCATTAACCAATTACCATCCATTTTGGCAGAATGCAAGTTGGTTGGCATGGCCAAGTACCTAGCAAGGCCCCTCACTAATCAAAGTCCAGATTGTGTCAGGTTGGCAGATGGATAAAACTAGTAACTAGAATCCTTTCTTCCCTTTCTTGGAATAAGGATCATACATATCTATAGATCGCAAGACAGGCTAGGCAAGCAAAAGGTTCGTGCCATACCCAAATTATTATCAGTTTTCACCACCCCAATGGAGAAAAATTATTCCTACCTTCTTATCGTAAATAAATAAATAAAAATCACAAGTAAATATTTACCCCTTTCAACAGGGAATGGGCTTCACTTGATAAAAATGCAGGCAGCTTGATCTTGTCCTTTATTATCTTCTGCTGAATCTTCTCCCGGTTCCCGCCAATAAAGGGTGGCTGCAAACGAGGTATATGACACAAAGTTAATGACAATAACGATGTATCTCTGGTAAAAGGAATGGCTAGTGATAGAGACTTTTATTAGATATTGTATCAATCCAAGTGGATCCTATATAAAAGTTTCGGTTAATGACAATAACGATGGATAATGATGTATCTTTGGTAATAGGAATGGCTAGTGACAGACTTTTATTGGATATTGTATCAATCTAAGTGGATCCAAAACAAAAGTTTCGGTTAATGATATCAGAGAGCACCTTTCATCACTTCCATGCAGATCAGAAGGTTTCATAATGATATTAATTCATTAGCCAAAAGGTTGGCCAAATCAGAGATTGTAGCTAGGTTTCTCCATTTTGCGCATTCCTGTACATCCTCTCATGTACAGCAAATAACCACAAAAGATGTATCCGTAAAGCATTTGAGATGCTGTTGGGAGTTCATTCAAAGGGATCCAGATTTCAATGACCATATCATGAAAAGCCACAGTTTAATAATCAATAGAAACATTCTTTTAATAATAACCAACACAAATATTGGAGGGATTCTAGGCATGAAAGGTCATAATTTAATAATCAAAACATAAATAGTGGCTCTTCTGAGTGTTGCAGTCTGTCATTTGGATATGATTCTTGAAGCAATGTATCATCAAGGTTGTTTCAACACAAAAATCTTGACTACTTTTGTTTTTCTTTTTTCTATCAGTAATCTTTGCCAGTTCTTTTAATCTTGGCTAATTTTAGAGTTGTGGCTAATGACTTTCAGATGTGATTCCTGAAGCAAAATATTTGGATATTTGTAAAAGGTTTGCTACTCCATATAAATGCTACTTGCAGATAAGGGCAAGGTGATTAAACAATTAATTTCCCATGAGAGTAAACCTTTCCTATGAAAGGAAAAAGGTGTCTATATCACAAAGAAAGAACATGGTCTTATTGATCGATTCCAAATATTAAAGAGTACAATTATATTCAAATGAACAGTTAAAAAAGAAGTATTTGATGATAAGAAATGCCCCTTTTTCAAGGCTAATATCCATGTACATTTAACAGTAACTACAACCTATGTAGCTAAAAAAAATTTCCCAAATTCATCAACAGGACTAAAAATCAAGCAAGTAGATCCAGATAACTAAGGATCATCTTCAGAGTCAAAATACCAACTCTAGCTGTCACACATTAACAGCAAAACAACTTTTCTGATCCTCATGCAAATTTTATTTTAATGGAAAACCATCATTGCAACTATTATCTGATTAAGTGATAACAAGTATTATCTTTGTGTATTTCTTGCTTAACTGAAGTTTAGCAAATGAATTTTTTTCCCCAACATTAGCAAGTAACATAATGGAGTTCTCAGTGAAAATTCTACACATGATACAGCTTTGTAAAGAGATTTTTTTACTTTTTTTTAATGCTTGTTATAGCAAGCTCATTCACAAACGACAACAATGTAAAGAGCCATAAAAACACAAGCTAGCCCACAAACAAGGAGGGCAGTTGCAATAAGAATTAATAGATACACTAACCTTTCCAGTTAGCATTTCAAACAACAGAATTCCCACACTCCACCAATCTGCAGACTTATCATGACCCTTCCCAAGAATAATTTCAGGTGACATATATTCTAATGTTCCACACATGGAGTTTGACCTCGTATTCTCCTCAAATTGCTTTGCCAGGCCAAAATCAGTCAACTTGACCTAAATCAAGACATGGAAAATGTCAGACCACATATATGCAAGGTTCAAAATTTTGACATGATACACCCCATATCGGGTGTATCGTATCATATTGGTGGGTCACTGATACACAAAATACATGGTGTTTGGCCTTTTGATCCTTTTCAGGGGGTTGGCAAGCCTAAGACCTACCCCCTGACCTATTTAAAAAAAAACACTAAAAGAAAGGGATGAGCATTAGGCACAAAGTACTGAGACACCCCTTTCAGCATATCGGGGTGCATCGATACTTTGAACCTTGCATATATGCATTCTTTTATCTAGCTGTTCATTATAAGTAAAAGATGCTCATATGGGATTCAAGAGAGAGAGAGAGAGAGGAAGGGAGGGAGTCTTACATGACCATCAGCATCAAGAAGAATATTTTCTGGTTTGAGATCCCTATGCATTATACCATTTGCATGGAGGTGAGAAACAGCAGAAACAATCTCAGCAGTATATATGCGTGCCAAATCCTCCCTGAAACAAACCCTGAGTGTTAGATTGCATTACACCTTGAAATTTTTCAGTCATTCAGAGGGCTAAAGCCAAGGGTACCTGAAAAGGCCATGGTGGTAAAGCTGGAAAAAAAGGTGTCCCCCATTTACAAAATCCAGCACAAGATACAATCTGTACTTGGTCTGCATGAATGAAGTCAACACCAATATTCACAATTCTATTTATAAAAACATCCTTGAGATCTCCCCCAGAAAAGGCAAGATATATTTAATAGAAAGAAAAAGAATCTAACTCAACCTATTGGTGGCATATTCTAAGAAAAATAAGAATTAAGATATTGTGCTATGTATCTCCAAAAAACTTAGATTTCTTATCATGTCTTGAAACTCTCAAATATATTGTGAGTACTTCAGTATTTTATATATTTGAGAAAAAGAGAAAGAAGCAATTTAGGAAATGAGGTAAGGTCCGTAAGGTATTACCTGGAATGAGTATTTGAGCTGCACAATGAAGGGATGATCTATTTTTGTTAAAATATCCCTCTCAGCTTTCATGTATTCTGCATGATTCTTCTCCATGATCTTATCCTTGCGCATAACTTTCATTGCATATATTTCTGAACTACCCCTCTTCCTTACTTGAAACACTTTTGCAAATGCACCTTGTCCAACAACCTTCATAACTTCAAAATCTTCTAATCCAACACTTTGGCTCTTCATACAATTATTGTCAGTATGATCTGAAGACTTTGGACTACTACCATCATCAAGAGAAGGTTCCTGCATTTCTCCCATTGACTCTCTATCACACTCTACAAGCTCTAGAGAGTGTTCAGTGTCATGTAATATGAGTTTGCTCAGCTTCAATGATTGACTAACACAAGTTGTAGGGCCGACTAAAGAATGTGATCGGCTGTAAATGACAACTGGATCATCATAAATTAACTCATTTGCATCTGAAGAAGGCAAGGGATTTTCGGAATTCACTTCAATTGATGCTTGAACTGGAGCAGGAGGGCCAAATACATCAGAAAAATCAAATTCAACATAATCAGAAGGAATAGCTTCAGGAGGTCCCACAGGAAGGAGCAACCGGTTATGAAAGGGCTTGCACATGCGGGTCTTAGTGAAATCAGATAATTGAGAGGAAACCATAGTGCCAATGTTTAATAGCGCATATAGAATACGGCAATAGATTAGTCAGTGCTATAGTCGGGTCCCCCCAAGAGACTCCAAGATGCCAACTGATGAAGAAGGGCTTCTAACAATGGCCTTAAACAACTGGAAATTCACGTACACTATTGGGGTTCCAAGGAATCTTGGGAGTAAGAAAACCAAAACCCAGAAGAAGAAGTCGTTCTTGTTTCCCGATTTACAGGAAACGGTTGATGCCACAGTACTTTTTGAATTCATGAAGGTCAGGTTGTCAAAGCTGTAGCCATGCAGAGTAAGGTTGAAATATCAAGTTAGTTCTAGTTAAGCATAAAGAAAGGAAGGTTATAAATATATACTTATCATGTAGTTTAAGTATGGGTGCAAGTCAGATTTTCCAATTTGAAGAATTTCAACTGCATCAGGCTCAGGCCCAGTGAAAATTTGACAACCCAACGCAAGATGCACCCTTAAGATTAAGTGTCATAAATTCATACGAAGAAATCAAGATATGCAAAGAAGACTACTAAGAGAGAGACTAAATCCTTGTTTCTAACCCATCTAACATCAAAATATATACAACATGCAATATCATATCTGGATCTACAGTTCTAGGAGCACTTAAATCATGATATCTGCATATCCAAACTAATGTGTTAGGGATATGTTGCACCTGCATAAGGGTCAAGTCCTACCATCCAATGTCACCACACTCAAGATCCTGTGGCATGCCATGTAGCTAAAAATAGCATGCCCAGAAACGAAAAAAATAGAAAAAAAAAGTGATGATTATCTTTGAGGGTAAAATACTGTGCCATTTTCATTCTAAATGCAATAGCAGACCAAGCGCAATATGATAAGTCCTTTAGACCTTGACTCTATGACAATCATCAACAAAGACAGCATCTCTTTGGTCAAATAAATTGAAATTTAACTTCTAAACATAACAATGGAAGGTCACAAAGAAAATATAATCATACTAGACACTTGCACATGTATTGTCATTGTGTGTGTGAATTACAAGTTCAGATAATTCAAGGCATGCAAGCATTGGATTTTGGTAATATTGTAAAGGTAAGTTGATTATACTTTTTTTCGCATTACAATCTCCAAAGAAACATATGGAATAATATGGAATAAATCTTGTTCCATTTGTTAAGGCTAAGTGTGGTTGGTTACCCAAAAATTAGAAGAGGGTGGAAGAATTTTTATTTTTCTTTTGACAAAACCTATGGTGTAGAAACTGTGCAGTGGAGCAAAATATGTGAACCAGGGATAATTTTATTTTTCATTTAGAATATTTTTATTCCTTCCAAACCTATCTGAAAAACACAATAAATTTGAGCAAAAAAGTGTGAAAAGGACATGTAGGTCTTATAAACAGCTCATCCAAAAACACTATTTTCTTGCTAATTGAAACTGTTTAAGAAGAATGAAGATATTTTCTTTCATTTTCTTAAGCTTTCTTGGAAACCAAATAGATTCTAAATGCCCAACTGTTAAAAGAGACAAGGAATTTGATATTTTAGACTAGCTATAGTACCAAATTGAAAGTCACTTAATATATTTCTATGATATTAACTATGAAAATCAAGCAAAGAAAAGCAACAAGGAAAAGGAAAATAAGTATGGAGCTAAAAACTGCACTCGGTCCTAAAATCAAGGAATGAGATATGTACAAGCCGATTAGTGTATACATGAGTACATTTTTGCACGCGCGAGCGCGTGTGTGAGAAAGAAAGAGAAAAGCGGAAGAAAACAATTGCATGTTAGAAAGAAAAACTTTGAAGAATTGCACAACTGATCTTATGACACAAAGGTGGATAAATGAAAAGGAATTGAATATAAACCCAATAAAAGAAAACCTAAGTAGACAAGAAATTTAGGATTCAATGGAATTGAAGTTCAGCAAGCCCTAACAAATTGAAAAGAAAAAATCCCTGGATCCAAAACCAAAAAAATCAAGATGAGGAAAAATTAAAAACAAAATCCTATGAAAAATAAATAAATAAAACATGAAATTTCATTGAGATCCCCAATCACAATTATTGTCGAAGTCCAAACAACAAGGAAGCCTACTAAAACTAAATCAGATTCTGAAATCAATTAACGAATTGCAAACCTGGGGAGGAAGCTAGCTAAGAACATGATCCAAACTAAGGTCCATTAATTAAAAGAAAGAAAGCAAAGAAGGAACCCAGAACGGAGAAGATCGAAGAGGTTACCTTTGAAGTTGCAGAGACAGCCAAATAGAAGGCCTTGGGAGGTTTTCTTCACCGTTTCTTTACGAGCGTCTCGCCTCGCCACTTATACAAAACCAACGAAAGCCTGGCTGGCGTTGATGCTCGTGTCCGCCTTAACACGTGGCGCTATTTGACTAGTTGATTGGATAACTTTTTTAGGCCCCGGAACATCTACGCACCGCTTATGCTTCCGAATTTGGATCTGGTTTCAAGTTAACGCCCAAGGAATGCAATCCTATCACGACACGCATCCATTTTGCATATTGACTGAAATAGCCTTTAATAGGCGTCGAATACACAATTATTATTTTTTTCTCACTTTTGTCTTTCCCATGATGTATTTTTAGGGGTGGATTCGAGCCGAGCCGAGCCGAGTCAAATATTATTAAGTTCGAGCTCGCCTCGATCTCGATTTCTAGTTCAGTTTGAGCCAGAACTTTAAGCTTGAGTTCGGCTCGAGTAAAAAATTCATAAGTTCGAGTTTGGCTTGGTTCGAGTTCGATTTTGAGAAAAATATTTTATAAAAATAAAAAATTATATATATATATATATTTTTTTTATTTGATATTTAAAAAATTAATAATTATAATATTTTTATTATATATAGTATTTTCTATAATTTTATTATATATATATAGTAGGCTCGAGCTCGGCTCGTTGCCACCCCTAGTTTTTTTGGTAATACCGTTGAGTGTTGATTGCAGATATTGACTGTGTTTGGTTCCGTGGGTGTTAAACGCCGCCATATCAGCGCCACAGAGGTGTTGGCGTTTATTGTAGATGAAGCAAAATAAGACAACTGTTTGGTTTTATAGTTTATCAAATAAATGACAGAAAATTGAAACATTTTGATTTTTGGGCATGGAGAATTTGGGGAAACGTCAAATTCTTATTTCCCCCAATATCCTAACGCTTGTTGAAACCAAATGCTGATGTGGCATACTTTAATGAGTGTTAATATGATGTAGAGAGTAAACGTTTAGAGTGAAAAAATATAAATAAACATTTAAAGTGAAAAAGTACAAATAAACGGCCTATCCATAAACACACACAGAATCAAACACATACATCATCACGCCCTTCCAATATAATTTCCCTTCTCTCGCATGCAATTGTTTTTCTTTTCTTTATTTTTCATTTAGGTTGTGTTTGGTTCGCTTTTTTTTTTCTTCGGTTGCGTTTGTTTTTGGTATAAATTTCATCCATGTAAAAGTACATCGGAGTTGAATCCCAATGGATTTAAAATTTCAGTGAACCGTTGGAATTTTTTAAATGTGATAATTGATGTAAGTACATCAATAAAATCAATGTATTATTTGTATCAATTATTGATGAAAATTTTAACCGATGGAGAGGTTTACATCAATTTACACTAGTCCATATTTACACCAAATGCAAACAAATGCAAATCGGTGGTGGAGTTTTATGTTGATTCACATTTATATTGAAAACAAACAAAACCTTCCTTTCCTACCTCTTCTTTCTCACCAAACACCACTTTATTCTTATTATCCTTTTGACTATGATGCCAAGAATAAGAATCAATGAAATTAATCACGAAATGCTTAAGTAGAAGAATGTTACAAAACATAATTAATTCGTGTTGCAAATGAAATCCAAGTACAACGGAAGGGCTCTTATAAAGTAATAATGTTATTTCAATATCATCTACCTTTCTCTTTTTTCTCCTCTCGAGCTCTTTTCCAATGCCTAATGGATGCTTTATTGCAAAAGAGATAAGTTAAGACTTTGAGAGAACAGAACTCATGTACCATATATTAAGGCCTTGTTTGCTTTTCGGTAATTTAGGTAGTGTTTGATATCATGTTTGGTCCCACCCACGGCAATAAGTGGTGTTTAGTTCGTTGGGAATGGTCCCTGTCCCCAATAACTTGTAGATAAGACCGTCCTAGATCAATTTCTTGCCAATGCTTATTTTTCATGGGAGTCTGAATATCGAAAACATCTCTCATATTTGTACTTGTCCTTGCTGCACCTCACACAACCTCACAACATGTCCTTGCCGCACATCGAGAACATCTCTCATATTTGTACTTATTATTCATGGGGAGATGTTCCCAATACAAGGTGGGATGTGGTTATGAAGTCGGTGTGAGGAGCATATTCTAATTCTTTTTGTGGATGGGGAGTGGACAAAAAGGGGTATGTGATATTATACATCACATGCCTTAGGTGGTGTTTGATAAATCCAGAATTTGGAATCTGAAAAGTTAAAAAGATATCATTTGTGTCTAAAATATGAAAAGAAGCATAAGTGCTTTTCTACTTTTTAAATGCTTTGAATCCATAGGTGCTTTTAGATGCTCTGAATCCTAGAACATACTATTTGGAAATGTTGAGTTCAATTAGCATTATCTTATAAAAAATACTTTTCAACTTCAAAATAATATTGAAACAATACAAATAAAAAATAATAAATTATTAATTAAAAATTACTAATTAATAAATGAAATGATTAAAATTAAAAAAAAATAATTAATGACTATAAAAATATTAAAATAATTAATAATTTACATAAATAAAAATTAAAATAATTTTTAAAAATTAATGAAATAATTAAAAATTACTAGTTAATAAAATTAATTAATAATTAATAAATAACATAAGAAAAATTAATAAAAATATTAAAATAATTAATAATTAATAGTTAGTAAATATAATTTACAATTTATTATTATTATTATTATTATTATTATTATTAACATTCATCAAACCGCCGTCACTGCAAGTTGAAGCGGTGGTGGCGGGAAGAGAGAGAGAGAGAGAACCACTATCATTACAAGTTGCAACGGCGGTGGCAAGAAGGCAAGAGAGAGAGAAATTGCCATTGCTACAAATTGCAACGGCGGTGGCGGGAAGACGTGAGAGCGAGCGAGAGAGAGAGAGAGAGAGAGAGAATCGTCGTTGTTGAGAGTTGTAGCGGCAGTGGTATGAAGACGAGAGAGAGAGGTCGAATGGGGTGGGGGTATTTTTGACTTTAGGCTATGTCTGAAATGCGTCTAAGCGGGTTAAGTGACGGGCCTGAGTCTTTAAATTTTGGATCTGAAAAATCTTTTCAGACCATATTTCAGATGCAACACTAGCATTGCATCTGAAAAGCAAATATTTCAGATTCATACGTCTGAAAAGTGTTATTAGATGCCACCTTAGTTTTTGTTGTTTTTTACCATTACACCCCCAAAGCTATAAATTTTTTTGAAAGCCCCAAAGCTATAATTTGATGATATACCTATTGTTTATTGAATTATTTAATTTTTTAATAAAAAGTATTTTTGTTTAAATAATTTTTTATCGATTAATATGAATTTATTGATGATATTTTCAAATTAATTTTGGCTATTGGGTATAATTACTTATTTATAATCAATTGTGTAACTATTTCACAAATTGTATGTAAGATGTATGTAATCAAAAAGTGTGGTGTGGACCGATTCACACCACACCTACAAAACACAATTATAGGTGTAGATTGATTCAATCCACAATTCAAAACAGTTGTGGGTTGTGGTGTAGTGTGGATTGATCATTGCCACAGTGGTGTGGTGTGGACCAGTTCACACCTACAAATCTAGTCCACGAAACAGAACACCCCCTTAATTACCTTGGTAAATGCATTATACAGGTAAGTTTTTCCTTTCCCGTGTAGGTGCATTTAGCCATGCTCTTTTATTTCTCAGGTAAATAAGACAATGACTGTTTTAGCCATAAAAAACTATTATTAAAAGGGGCAATTTTGTCCTATCCTAGTGTTGGCAACTTTCACCACCCATATGGGAAAGTTACTTATCCACCTTGTACCTGATACATAGGGAAAGCAAATTTTCCAAGGACCCTATATAAATCTTTGCAAAAATAACATGGGTTTCTTAATCAATTAAAACCAAAATCCCCTTGACTAACTCTCTCCTCTCAAAATGCGAAAAAAAAAGAACAGACCCTAATTAGTTCTAATTTCATTTTGAAAACCATAACAAAATAAATTCAAATAACCAGTAGGCCAATGGGTAGAATTCTTTTTTTTCCTAATTCCCTTTTAGTCATAAAATATAGGGAGGAAACCTTTACGAATCTACCTTTTTCTCCTTCAAATCAAACATAAAAAATGCTAACAACCATGAAATCTAGATCCAATTATGCCCCTAAATGAGCGGAATGTTTATGATAGTTGAATCAAAAGAACTCTTCAACCGAGTTAATACACATTCATCAAATAAAATTATGTTACGCTTGGTTTGAGGGAATAGGAATCTGGAATTGGAATCAGAATGGCCCATAACAATTCTTCTCATTTGGTTGAGTAGAATGGGATGCGATTGGCCATTCCGGTCCATTTATTTATTTATTTATGACAAAAAAATGCCCTCAATTGAATCCAACCCCCATGCCTTGTGAGCAACTCCTTCAACTTCCATACTAGTTGCCATTGCCACTTACCCCATCTCCGGCGAGGTAAGACCGCTGCCGACCATCCTTCTTCCCCCCTCTTCCTTTCTCTAGTTTAGGATTGTTCTATTTCTCCACTACTACTACTACTACCATTGAGGTTCTTTTAATCAGGGCAAAATTGGAATTTTAGGTTGATTCCAATTCTGGTTTCTAGTTGAACCAAATAGCAACAATCAAAATTCAATTCTGATTCATGACTGAACTAAACAGGTGCCAAGAATAGGTGATTTCAACTTCGATTCAGAATAGATTCTAACATTAGTTAATGACCTTTTTTAATGTGTTTATGACATTATTTATAATTAAGTGGAGTTCGGATATGCTAGCCACAAATGCATGACACATCCTATGCACAAGACAGGCCATGTATAGAAAACATGACAGGTTTTTTATATGTTTTTTATGGGAGATCACTGATGTTCCCAATACATGGTTGGGATGTGTTATGGGTCCTGCCTTGTGGGGCACCAAGTTGAACTCTTTTTATGGACTAAGTAAGCATTTGATGTGACACATCCAACTTGAATTGATGAATTCCCAACTACACAACCCCTGAGAGACCCTGTTATAGTAGATTCACACCCCTAAACCTTGATCGTGATACTGTCCCAAACCCTTTAT